ATTTAAAAATCTGTCTGACAATGAAAATCCATTGTATTGTAAAATTCGTTATATCAAAATTCGTTGTAGAAAGAGTTAACTGTATACGGGATAAATAGGATATGTCTATTATCTCAGAAATTTATTCGTGCATTTTTTTCCTGCTAGTCATTGAACCTCAAGCAAGTGTAATGAAAAGGTGGCCCCCACGAGCAGAATTATATTAAGGAAAGAAAATAAAAGTTTTACTCGTAAGGGCCACCCGAAAAAGGGTATGAAAGCAATATAGCCTGAACTAATTCAACACTTTGTACCTCATTCTCAGCAATCACGAAAGGCCCAACGCGGAGTTCACAAAGTTTTATTTTTTTCCGCTAATAATGTTAACGAAGTACTGAAATACCTGACCAACTTCTGAACAAGCTCTCTGAAAAATAATATTTCGAAAAGATGCATAGCCAGAACTGATTTGGCATTATGTGACTTAGATGCTAACATGCCTTTAGCGCTTACACCCCTTTCGATACCCAAATCAGTCACCAAAGGTCTCGGCATCCAAAGAATCGGCACCCCTTTCGATACCCAAATCTGAGATATAAAGGCCTGGTAATCTAAAATATCAGCATTCCCTCGATATCAAAACTAACCACTAAACAGATATAGAAAGGCAACCAAATAGGCGTAAAGGAGAAGCACTCCAACATAGAATCTAGCATCCAATCAGACGCAGGAGGTCAGCATCCTCAATATAAAACCAGATATCGAAACAGCTAAAGCAATGCTATAAACACAAAGGAGCAATAAAGCAATAAAAAAGCTATAGAACACGAAAATAAGTAAGTAGGTAATAATTTAACGACAATCAGATAACAGTTTACTCAAAACTAGATAACATTATATCAGAACTGGATAACACTCTTATAAGAGTGTTATCCAGTACAGGTAATTTTAGAATAATTTTATTTTATTCATCTTAAAATTTTAAATTAAAAAATAAATTCATTTTTTAAATAATTAATGTATAAACATAAAAGTCTTTATAAGTTATTAACTTCTCAAATTAGAGAAGTATTATTCAGTTTATATAAAAAATCTTGATTATTCCTAATAAATATCAATATATCTCTAACTGAAATTCATTATTAGAAAGTATTACCTTCTATGAAGAAATATTATAATAATTTATTAAAATAAAGGGACAAAATAAAAATAACGAATTATTTTAAATTTTAGCAAAAGTTTTTTTAAATCATAAAATAATACTAGAATTACTAGTTGTATATGTGATTAGTATATATTAAATGATATTAAATCTGATAAATGAAAATTTATAAATAAATAGTTCTGTCATGAAAAAATCATCTAAAGCAATATAGTAAATATTAAAAGTATTAAATAATATTATATAATATTATATAAATAATATAGTGTAAAACTTCTATAATAGGAACTTAAAAAAAACATTACTAAAATTTAATTTACTGATTGGATTTTTATCAAATAAAAAAAATTAATTTATATTTGTAAAAATGAATTAATTTATAAAAAAAAGTTTTTTTCAATTTTGTAAATTATGTAAGTATTGTGTAATATATATATGAGCTAATCAAAAGCTAAAATTAAAATCATATAAAATAATTTTATTTTATTTTATTTTATTAAATTGCATTAGATACATGATGATGAAACTTATATTTTTTAACTGCAAACTCTGCCATTTTTCTAGTAATACTTTTTCTATAAATATTTATAAATTATTATAATTTTATACATATTTTTGAATTATTATTAAATGAACTGAATTTAATGCTTTAAAAATAATTTATTATAATTCTACTTATGTGTAATTTTAATATTCTTGTGTATTTCTTTTACTATACTCTAATACATCTTTATATAATTCAATTTATAATAATATTTAAGTAAAATATATGAATTATAAAAGAATTGTTCTTATAAATTTGTCATTATATATTTTTTTTAATTTCAGTTTTATTAATTTTAGATAAATTTAACCTGATATAACTTTATCAATATTAAAGATATTAAAATTCTAATCTAAGATTTTTAAAATATAGATTATTTATTTTATGAATTAAATTTTTAATTTTATATTTAATAAATTTTTTTTTGCATTTTAAATTTGTTCTATTTTTACTATAACAAAATTCCTATTATAGAGGTTCTACACTATATTAAAATTTTTTTTTAATTTATAATAAAGGATTAAGAGTGATATATAGAGATATTATCAGTTTGACTCAATTTAGTTTAATTCAAAAACTAACAGTTTAGTCTTTAAGTTAAATTGATCTATAGTTTATTATTTGAAGATAAAACTGCAATTATAACTATGATTTTAACTTCAGTTAATCATATATTTGAATTTTTATTGATTAAATAATATAACTGCAATTTGTATTTTAAAAAAATTTTTATTTTTGAAAAATAAAATAATAAATACATACTATTATTGTCTTATATATACTTAAATTTAAAATAAATTTGATAATTATTTAAAAATGTAATCTGTTTGATAAATTCATTTATTATATTTTATTAATAAAATAGTATATTATAAATCAGAAATAACAAATTCAAACAATTTTATTATTAACTAAACTAGTATTTTATTTCATCTAGCTTTCAAATAGAAAGAAGTATAAGCTGTATTAAAATTAAGATGTTTCAAACTTTAGTATAGATGCCTGCCAAAACCTCCTCAAAATAATTTCGTCATACCCTTTTCTATATTTTTAATATAATTTTGACAGTTTCAACTTTCGTCGTATCAAATGGGTTTCGTCGTATCCTTATTATAATTTTAATATAGTTTCATTTAAGTTTTGATTGTTATTAAGGGATTTCATCCCTCATCTATAAACTTTAGTAATAATATATAATGTAACTAAAAATGCTTATTTATTTGATACACTAATACCTTGAATAGCAAGATAATTATGTACTATTTTAATAAAATCAGAAATTTGTTTATATATTAATATTACTAAAATAATAGCTTAGATTGTATTAATAGTAAAGCTAAATATCTTTCTAATTTTCCTTCTAATGGTTGTATTTCATTTTGTTGTTATATAATTAAATTTTCAAAAAAATAATCTAATATTTGTTTTACAATATAATTTGAATTATCTAAATCTTATAATATTATATATATAAACATTTATGAATAAAATTAATTTATTACTATATCATATTATTCTTCAAATAAAAAAGTAATTTTGAACTTAAATTAAGAATAGTTAGAATAGTTATAAAGGTATCAAGTGTCTTTGAATAATTATCAATTTTTTTGTATAAAGAATCTGTTATAATAGATTTTTCTAATATATAATCATTAATATATATCTTAATATATTGAAGAATTTCTGTAAAAGTTAATATAATATTACTAATAGTTGGATATAAACTTGAAGAAAAAATTTTGTTACCTTATATATTAGTTTAATATGATGATTATTAACTGTACTTGATTCCATTCATTTTTATTAAGATAAAATGTCTAACTGTTTATTATTACAAATAAGAAAATCAAGTTCTACATGCATTTATTTAAACTTTTCTAATATTAAAAATATGCTATTCTATTATGTAGTAATATCAAGATCAGATTTAAGATAATCCTTTTTTATTACCTTAAAATACAGTAGCGGTCATAAGTATCCGACCGCCTCTAATTCTGGCTACAAGTAAATAAATTCAAAAATTTTTTTTTATTTAAAAAATACATAACCAACTAACTAAA